TTTTAAAATATATCTTTAATGATATTAAATTTTATATAATTAATAAAAAAAATTGATATGTATTACTTACAAAAATAAAATATTAAATTTAAAAATTAATTTTTAAAAATATTCATCAAAATCTAAAAGTTAAAAATCTAATTTTTTTTTATAGACATGGAAACTAACATATACTATTTTAATATGTATAAAAATTAATAAACTAATTTAATATTGTTTACTAAATTAACAAATTAAATCCATTTTCACCACTAGTCCAGCCATTAAAGCAAATTACTTTAAATGACAATTTGCAGAAGCAGGCCTGCATAATCCTTTTCCCTCTTCAACTAAGCACATCAACGGTCCTCTTCTTTCTTCTCCAATCGGGCGGTCCGCAATCCTTTCCCTGTTCATCACTCACTTCATCACTTCCCTCTTCATTAAGACAGACTACTTTATATAACAATTTGCAGAAGCAGGCCTGCATCATCCTTTTCTCTCTTCAACTAAGCACATCAACGATCCTCTTCTTTCATCTCCAGTTGAGCACTCCGCACTCCTCTGTTCTTCACTCACTTTACTTCTCTCTTCACTTCTCTTTTTTCGTTTCCAACACACAATGAACGACTTTGATCCTGCCAACGCTACCCAGTCTTCGGCTGTGGTGGAAAATTCCACCACAGGATCTGAGGAAGGAGGAAACTCCAAGAGACAGAAGATTCTTCCCAAGACCCTTGAGTCAAAAAGCTTTGCCATCAAAGACTTTGAGGGCAACAAGGAGGATCAAGAAGATTACATAGCCAACACCATGGCTACCTACAAGAAGAACCTCACTGACCGCAGCGAACACCAACTGGGTATGATTTTTCTTTAATTTGGTTGCAATTTACGGTTGTAAGTATTGAGGGTTGATAATGCTATGAGATTGGCTAGGATTTTGAATGAATGATACCGTGTCTATTTTCATGTATACACATTGATTTATATACATTGATTCTCTCATAGCAACTACTCGGCAGAGCGAAGCTAAATATTCATGAATTGATAATAAGGCTTGATTGCTGAAATGGTTATCCTTGATTGCTGGAATAATTGTTGGAATGATTATCTGATTGCTTTTCTCAATGCTTGCTTCAGGCTACCCTTTTAATCTGGAATATGATTACAAGGACCTAAATCAGTTGATGCCTTTCTCCATTAATAATATAGGAGACCCTTTTATTGGCGGCGACTGCGGTAATCATTCAAGGCCGTTTGAAGTTGGTGTCTTGGATTGGTTTGCCGAATTCATGAAAATAGAGAAGAATGAATACTGGGGTTACATTACAAGTTGTGGAACCGAAGGCAATTTCCACGGCATTCTTACCGGGTGAGTTTTAATTGTTGCCAAATTATTGTTATTTAGATATTATATATAAAAGCTGAAAATATATTATGATGGATTTTGCAGGAGAAAAATGTTTCCAAATGGCATTTTATATGCCTCAAAGGAATCCCATTACTCTATTGCAAAAGCAATAGATATGTTTAGCATGAAGTGGGTGCAAGTTGAAACACAAGTTAGTGGGGAGATTGATTATCATGACTTCAAAACTAAGCTCCTTGCTAACAAAGAATTTCCTGCCATAGTTGTTGCTAACATAGGTTTGTCTCTCACACTCACACAAACACACCCTTTGACGAAAGTATTTAGTATGTGGCTTTTGATGGGAATAACTTAATGTCTTAAGGAATGGTGTTTGTTGTAGGAACAACCATGAAAGGTGCCGTGGATGACATTGATTTTATCATTCAAATTCTTAAAGAGGGTGGGATTTCACAAGATAGATTCTACATTCATTGTGACGGGGCATTGAGTGGCATCCTTTTGCCTTTCATGGAATGTGTAAGTTAATGCATTTCTAGCATGTACTAATTTCGAATCACACATTTTGTATTTTGTTAAGAGATTTTACTTAAGTATGATATTATTTTCGGTGGTTAACAGGAAAAGAAGGTTATTAGTTTCAAGAAACCAATTGGAAGTGCCTCCATATCAGGGCACAATTTTATTGGGTGTCCAATCACTTGTGGTGTTTTGATAACAAGAAAGGACTACATTAATTTCCATTCAAGAAATATTGAGTACATTGCCTCACAAGATGCTACAATCATGGGAAGCCGGAATGGCCATGCTCCTATTTTCCTTTGGCATGCACTCAACAGAGAAGGTTGCAAATTGATCCAAAAACAAGTTGAGGAATGCCTCAAAAATGCTCGCTATCTAAAGGGATGCTTGTGCAAAGCTGGGATTAGCGCAATGCTAAATGAAAGTAGCATCATTGTTGTGTTTGAGCGACCAAAGGATGAGGAGCTCATTCGAAAGTGGCAGTTGGCTTCTCAAGGAAACGTTTCACATGTGGTGGTGATGCCACATGTATCTGTTGCAATGCTGAATACTTTCTTGGATGAGTTGATTTCAAAACGCTTAACTTGGTATAAAGATGAAATACCGCCTTGTTTAGAAGTTGACATAGGAAAAGAGAATTGTACTTGTGCTTTGCATAAGTGTTAATTAAAACTTATTAGTTATCATGTTTTGTATTATGTAATATTGTATTTGATGTATAAAAGTCTTTCTTTATAATTAAAATATAAAATGATGTCATTAACATGCAGAAAATATGGCAGTGTATTGTATGTGTCCAGCCATGTGATCAGTACATTGGTTGGGACAAAACAAGCAGCCCTTTTGTTCCTGGTGCTAATGTGCTCTTTCACTTGTTTTTTACATTGGATCAAAGTGTAACAACATGTTATCTGTCGAATCAATATTGGCCTATCTGGAGTCATAGCCTTCTTAACACCATCCACAGCCATAACAGAATCCATGTCAAAGGAGGCAGACTAGACCCATCCATGGAATTACTGTGCCTATGGTGTGCTTTCTTCTCCCTCTGCATCAATTTCCTGCCAAATTTCTTCTCAGTGGCTCCAGAAAGTATAAATACTCCACTCCTTTACAACATCAAGAGCAAACTTCAGCAGTTCATAGAGCTTCGAAACTTTATGATTCTCAAGCAGATAATCATATAAACTTCCGCCAGGCATACTCTGCAAGCAATAAACAAGCTTCCCTGTAAGTGCATGACAGTAAAACAAAAGAAACTGTAATATTAGATCATAAAACTATTTTTTTTGGTTGGCAACTGTGGCTAAAGAAAGAGTATTTCTTTCTCTCTGTTCACATTGGTTACCAAAGGAAAATCAAAGTAATAGAACATTGGGCAACAGGTTAACAGGGCACAGTGGAAATATTCAAGAAGAAGCTCAAAGCAAATGGAAAAAGTCTAACAATTTAGAAGTTCCAGTACCTGTCACCATACACAAATGTGTAGACTCTGTACAGGCACCAATAAAACGAACAACATTCGGATGCTCAACTGCTCTGTACTTATGCAAAAGAAGGGAGCAATACAGTAAATTTCTCTGTGAAAATGAACTGAAAAAATGCAAACAAATGGGGAGATTAATTCAAGACGTAGGAGATTGATAGAAAATTCTTGTAGCATAAAATTGTAGAATTCATATTTTTATTCATAGGCTGGATTAAGGTAATAAAGCTAAGGATCCTCCTTATTTAACACTTAAATTAGCCCATTCATCCATCACCTGAGAAACTTGTCTGTCAGTCTGTGCCTCTGCTGGCCAACTATTATCCAATAGGTAAATGGTTCAACAGGGAAAGAAAAGGAAGGGATGGCTTACAAGTAAACGAATCCTTTCATTGTTTTATTCATCAGTGAGAGAATTCAAAATTTTGACTGGATTCTTAAATCAATAAATAAATAAAATAACTGATAGATAAACATCCTAGCAGCAGCAATGTCAAAGTACAGAAGATCTTAGAAGCCACGAAACTGAGTCTACAATTGTTTTACTCTTAGTGAACTAAAATGAATACAATTTATCCCAAAACTAGAATATACGCATGGGAGTTGGCATCCAACATCACTAGGGTCATCTTAGTGAATGGCAGAGTAAGCTAATTAAACACCTGGCAGATAAATGGTTAAATACTTGCAAAAGAATAGCTCTTCTTTAGAAGAAAGGCAAGGTTACTTCCAAAAAGGCTATAATTAAAATTTATGATTATTAACAAGTGGAACCTAACACATACCAGCTAAAGCTAGTGAATTAGGTCTTAAGAACAGAGACTTGTTTCCCTTTTCTTCAGATTAATTTGATTGATATAAACTTGATCACAAGTATAACATCAAATCTAAACTAACAGCTTCCGACTTCTCACCTTAAAATTGCAACCTCTTGAGTGAACGCAACCTGTAGAGCATCATTCAAATGCTCAAATCTAAGAATTTTGACAGCAACATCTTGATCACAGTAGAAACTATGATACCTTCCCATGAATATCAGAGGAGTGAGAAAATAAGAGGACAACAAAGAACAGAATTGATCAAAGTACAAGTCTATATGAATCCAAACTTACGAAGGTCCACGAGATCCTGATGCAATTTTTTCTCCTGTCTTCAATAATTCAATATCTATTTCCTGATCTCCAGATCTTAATGGTGCCATTGCTGCTCTATCTGTAGCAGAACGAGAATGTGAAGATTCATGGACCCTACATTTTCAATACACCATATAATATACTTATACAAGGTGGATATAATGTTACTCAAAAGGGATAAGCAACATAAATACCAAAATTGCTCCACTGGAATAAAAAAAGAAACGAACTGAAAGAAATTTTTTCTGTCAAATAAAAATCAAGGGCTTAGAGAACTGAGACTAAGATCTTATTAATAAGACATATAGATGTAATATGGATTTTTTTTTTTTTTTTTTTTATACTGATACGGATTCTGGTGAATAAAATTGCTATAGTGGCTACAGCAAGAACTTTATGTAAAGGATAAGTTATGGTCAGCAGAAGATACTAGTGCAGCTTCCTAGAAAAAGAAGTTACTGAGTGTTGCTCAGTACTGCTTTCTGCTTTCGCAGTAAGCTTCTACACGGCAAGTGGCACAGGAGAAAACAAGTAAAATCAGAAAAGGAGCCAAGAAGAAGGAATGAAACATTTCAGGAAAATCCAGGTTTTTTTCACCATGGCAGAATTAAAATTCTTTAAGAGCTTAGGACCATGAAGACTTTATATAGACATGAATTTATTAAGAGCTTCTTTCTTTTTCAGTGATCAGCCACTGAGTTTCTATGACAGAGTTGGACTGTGAAAAAAGGTTGGCTTCCACAGGGAAGTACAAAAACTCTTAGGGATATTTGAAATCTCAAGAAACCACAGGAATTAAGATTAGCATGCAGGTCTTTCACACACCAGGGTGGATAAATTTGTATCTGTTCCATCACAGAGTTTATGCTTTTGAGAATCATTCCAGCATATGGTTGAATATGCAGATAACACAATCTCTTTTGATTTGATCTTTATGTTTGTAATAGATCCAAAGATATAACAGTGAAAGGATGCACCTTTATCTTAGCATCTAAACGTAAAAATCTTCTTTCTGCTTTGTATGTTGCATCTCTCTCATATTTCTTCTGTTTTTTATTATTTTTATTATTTTTATTTTAATTAGCATGCAATTTAGTGGCTGCTGCCACCTATCTATGCCTCCTTTATGATGTCTCTTTTAATCCTTGCTGAATGGGTACATGACCATTTATAGAAGTTACCGACTATGTAAACAAGACTAATCATTTGAGCTATTGTATTGCTTCATGTACCTCATTTGTTGCTTATAAGCTCACGTTGTAGCTCTCAAGGGAAAATACGTTGCTTTTGTTTCAACATATGCAGAGATTGATACACCTCATGTAAAATTAAACCCTAGAGTTGATCTGAGACATTTAGATGAGTTACCCTATGCCATGACCATTGTTACTTTTTTTTTTTTTGTTTGGACCACCCGGTATTCGGAAGCCCACTTGGGTCACTAATTAATCTGGATTCGAGTCAGACAAGATTGAACGGACGACAAAACTCTCCTTAACGAGTTTTAACGTAGCTGCAATCCCATGGCTTGAAACCAAGACCTCTGGTTAAGCTGGAGGAGTCTCCTGCCAATTCATCCAACCGCTCGTGGGTATGACCATTGTTACTTGTTGTTCTTGATTTTGATGGTTTAAAACCAAATGTGAATGGGAATATATTCTTGGCTTATTTTTAGTGATATTAATATGATTTTTATAAATTCCCAAATGTTGTGTTTGAATGTGTTTCCTTTTATATTAGAAGCCAAATTAATCGTGTAATTACCTATTCAATATATTTCCTTTTATGGTGAACTAATAAAAATAGAAATTACATATTTAGGTTACGATTCCAACCCCTAACAACAGGGTCCAAAAGCCCTAATGATTCTGTTTTGGGCAGACTTGCAGGGGATTCTCCAGGTTCCAACCCCAAAAATCAGAGTGTAGAAGCATAAGAGTCATAAGACTCACTATCCAATGAAGAACGAAGCAGAAGCTCCAACCCTTCATGCTGAGACTTTAAATAATTTACCATATTTGGATTATATTCTTTCCAATCATGCTCCAACGATCATAATCCTTTGATTGAGCAATTTTAAGGCATAAATATCAAATCTTGAAGCAAAGAAGAAAAAACAACAAGAAGAAGAGCTTTCAACCTTATAGAAAAGGAGAGACTGAGCTTCCACTTTTGTTCTTTGAGAAATCAACTCTTTTATATATTTGTTCGTGTCCTCTTTCATTGTAACAAATGATAGAGGGATTGGAAACCTTGTTAAATCTAGAAATCCATCCTGAGGTATAAGAAGGGTTAAGAGATTTGTAACAAAGGGATTGAATGGTTTAATAGCACTCGTAAGTTATTGGGAGAGCGATTGGGTACCTTGTTAGATCTAGAGAAAACCATCATTGTCGTATAGGACTAGATTTGTGAGAGATTGTAACAAGGGGTTGAATTATTAAAGGTGGATAGTGCTAACAAAACTATTACAAATGATAGTCTCTACACCCAAAAGTTGGAGAGCTTTTAAATTCAAAGCAAATTCTCAAGTAGGCAACTTGAGGAGTGGACTAGGTACGAATTGTGACTGAACCATTATAAATCCTTGTATTTAAGCTTTCTCTTTCCTTAACTTTTAATTTCTACACTTTAAATTATTTATTTGCAATTACTTATGAGTGTTCATTGTTTTGCACTTGAAAATTGCATAAAGTTTTTGAAAACCCAATTCACCTTTCTTTCGGGTTGCCATCATTTGGCCAACACTACTTGCCTATAGTGACAATCAATTGTGAAATGGAAATGAGAATGTTAGGTTGCTTGGATGAAAGATCACAACCCCCACATTGAAAACTCCTTGCTTGAAAGGTTAAATGGGGTTGCTTTTCAAGTCCAAAGCTAGCACTTACTAGATGGTGACTATAGCCGTGAATGATTCTCAATAATATTGACAAAGTAGGGTTACAGTATTTAGAATATGTATATACAAGTAAAAGACATATTTTTCCTTGAATATAATATAATACATTATCATCTCCTCACAATTCGTGCGGGATAGTGAAGAATGCATAAATTGGATCTTTAAGAGCAAAAAACAACTGTAGAGAGTGCTTTAATAAGAACATTAGCTCGTTGGAAGGACGAAGGAACATGCTGCAAAAGAATGGCACAAGAAGCAACCTTTTCACGAACAAAAGTGAATATCAATTTCTATGTGTTTGGTGCGTTGATGTTTTATGGGATTAAGAGACATATAAATAGCACTGAGATTATCACAATATAACACAGGTGCAGAAGAAAGAAAAATTCGTAACTCAGCCAACAATAGTTGAACCCAAATTACCTTAGCAATAGCATTAGTCATAGCACAATACTTTGCCTCAGCACTAGAACAAGCTACTATATGTTGCTTCTTAGAAGACCAGGAAATAAGAGGGTGACTAAGAAATAAAAAATATCCAAAGGTAGACCAGCTACTATCTAAACATCTAACCCAATCTGCATCACTATAACTATGTAGACACGGAGAGGAAGTTCGACAAAGCTAAAGTCCATAATGTAAAGAGCCCTTTCAGTACCGTAAGATTCGTTTCATAGCTTGAAAATGATTCATTGTAGGATAATGCATGTAGTGACAAAACAAAAAAGCCAATGTCAGGACGAGTAAAGGTTAAATATTACAAAACACCAATAAAGCTGCAATATTAGGCAAAGTCTAAAAAAAGGAGGACCACCATTTGCAAAAAGCTTCTGTTTTAGAGTCATAGTGGTGGACACTGCAGTACATTTCAATTCATCAATGTTTTAAACATGAATACCACAAAAGAGAAAAGCAAAACCCGCAAATCCCGGGAAACCCAATTCCAAAAGGACAAACGGCTCGAAATTGTCTGCCACTATACTTTTGCATATAAAAGTTGAAAAATAATCTCCCGCGCGTTCCAATTTATATAAAAACTATTTAAAAAATAAAAAGTACTCTTTAATGTTAACTATATTCTAATTTATATAAAGTCTATTTAAAAAAATAAAAACTACTCATTAACGTTAACTTTGGAATCAAATATATTTGGTGAATAGTGCACATCAATTTTGATTTTTATAAATAAAAATTAAAATCTTAACTCTAAAAGAATTATCATCTAATAAATATTTTTAAAAATTAGTTGTTAGATTTAATATGTTGGTTCAGATGACGGTAACTCAAGAAGGAGATGGATTATGTTTATAAAAACTTTATGCAACTTTTAAGAAACAAAGCAATGAATAAGTACATGCATTTTGCAAACTATTAAAAACTTAAATAAATAAAATGCATAAATTAAAATAGTAGGGTTAGAGATATCAAACATTTTGATTTATCTTGATTCGTCACGTTCTTTGATACCTATATTCAATCCTCGAGTTTCCTACATTTGAAATTTAATCTATTAACACTAGTTTCAATGAGTGCTAGTAAAATCAATTACAATAGTTTGCGGATGTTATCAACTGTTCAATCTTTTTGTTACAAATCTCTCAATCTTTTTGATATTTCAAGGATAAATTATTAAATTTAACAAGATTTTCCCAATCCCTCTTTCACCTATTACAATGAAAGAGAACAAGAACAAGTGTAGAAAATAGTTGATTACTCAAAGAACAAAAAAAAAAAAAGGCTTAATTTCTCTTAGTTTCTCAAGTTGAACACTCCTCTTGTGTGTCTCCTCCATACTCACATATCTAATTTTATGCTTTGAGGTTGCCCAATCAACAGTTTATGACCATTGAAACTCAATTGGAAAAAATTTATTCCAAATATGACAAGTTATTCAAGATCTTAGCACAAGGGGTTGGAACCCATCCCCATGGGTTGGAACCTCTGCTATTTTCTTCATAGCACAATGAAATTCGTGGTTCTGCGTCCTGAAACAAGAGGTTGAAACCTAAAACATGACATGTAATTTTGAATAAAAAAACAGAATAATCATGGGTTTCAGACCCTGTTTTTAGAGGTTAGAACCTCAACATAAAAATGCAATTTATGTTTTGTTTACCATTATAAAAGGAAAAATAGTAATTGGTACACACTCCGATTCAACACATTGCATGACATATTCATTAAAAAATTACTAATTTTTAGTCTAAAATTAAAGATAAACAAATTTAATGATACAATTATACACACAAATATAGAAACCAGTTGAACTGATTGTATTTATATTATATTTTTAATGATTAAACCAAGAATGTGTCAAAAAATGTATTGAACTGAGAGTGTATCAATAATTTTCCTAGAAGGAAACATACTAAATAAAAAATCACACAATTAAGTTGGCTTTCACACAAAAGGAACTACAATCAAAGAGCATATTTGAAGAATTATGAATATTAAATCAAAATTATTAAAAATAAGCCAGGTGAATATTTTCATTCACATTTAGTTTTAAATTCATTAAAATTAAGAATAACATAATGTTCTATTGATATAGATAATGCATAAACTTTTAAGTTAATTCAGCATAAATAATTATTTAATCAACAAACTTGTATTTTTTAAAGTATATTTAATGATATCAAATTTTGTATAATCAATAAATTAATTAAATATATGAGAGGAGATGGAGTTGGCGGCTAGAGTGGAGGAGGGGTACATTAGGGCGAGAGAAAGATGAGGAGGAGATGTTGGAGAAAATGCTGGAGGGTGTCAATCTAAAGGAGGGGGCAGGGGATGTTTGGAAGTGGGTTCATGGGTTGGATGGCAAATATGGGGTGAAACTAGCGTATGATTTCTTAGCTTCTTCGGAGACTGTTTTGGAGAACCAATTATGCAAATTAATAGGGTGCAGATTGGTGCCATCCAAAGTGGCGTTTTTTGGGTGGCGATTGTGCTTAGATAGACTCCCAACAAAGGAAAACTTGCAAAAACGTGGGATATTGCTACACGAGGGGGTTATTTGTGAATTTTGTAATGAGAAGGAGGAGAAAGTTAACCACTTATTTTGTTTATGTTATAATGCATGGTTAGCTTGGTCTCAGGTGCTGAGTTGGTGGGGTTTGAAGTCTGTTTTGCCTAACACAGTAGGAGGCATGGCAGAGTTCTTCATTGGTAGTTTGGGAAGCATAATTGGAAAGGAGATGGGTTCTTGTATTTTCCTAGTGGTTGCTTGGTATTTATGGTATAGACGGAATGCCCAAGTGTTTCGAAAAGATGAAGGTTTACCAGAAAACCTTCTGGAAAGGATGCAAGTTAAAACATTTATATGGGTAAAATCCAAAGTTAAAGGCTGTGTTTTTTCTTTTTACGATTGGCAATCATGTCCAATGGAGTGTGCTCTGGCTGTCAAAAATCATAAAAGGCTGAGGAAGCAGTTCTATAAAGATTGCGTACCCTCTAGTGGTTAGATAGGCGGGGCTGGTTTGCCTCCAATAGTGGAGCATTTGAGAACCTGACGCTTTATGCTTGTGATTTGTAAGCTTT